AAATTTAAAAAGTATTAGAAACAATTTCATTAGAACAGTTGTTTTGTACCGGTATTTATTTTAGCTTTGACACTTTTTTTCTTAATAACTTGAATACATCTGTTTACGCACACACTAAAAACACAAAGTTTAAAAAGTACTAGAAACAATTTCATGAGAACAATTGTTTTGTATTTATTTCAGCTTTGGCACCTTTTTTCTAAAAAATTGAATATTTGGCATTATGCTGTCATATCTGAATCACAAATGCATAGGTTGAGTCACAGGTGCATACATGTAGGTTGAGTCATACTCATTAGGTTATTTCAAGGGTATTTGTTTCCAAGCTCGGCTTTCTCTACGGCTTTCATTACGGGACATTTTGAAACCCCAAACTTGGGGGACTCAATTTTCCCATGCACTTCTGCTTTTGGAATGACAAACCATCAAAAAGGTTTCCATTTGACTTTGAACATTTAGGGCTTCTCAATTACTGGTACCCTGGAGGCTCTGAAGCTGAGAACGAAACCATGGTTTAGAAAATGTTATCACTACGTTGTACGTCTTTAAGTAAGATTTAAGTAAGGTTTGCGGAAACACCGCAAACTCTCCTGAAGATGGTCAGAGCATACTGACCGGAACGTCAAGTTTATACCTCTGGTTCTTTTCAGAATCATTCTCTTAGTTGAGAAATTATTCCCACATGGTGTTTCCGCAAACCTTACATTCATTATGTTCGTCTTTCTCAATAGTTTTATGCATACAGTACATGATGCAAACACTGTTTCTTATGTGTTTGCTTATTTTACAGTTTTCGAGGCCCGCCTTGTGAAATGCATTACATGTATTTTGCTCAATGTTGGTTTGGGTTGGTTTGAAATCACCAATTATAGGCCACTGTAGAAATCATCCTTTATGTGATGCATAGAAGAACGCTGATTTGTTACGGAGCTTAACACTGCAAACAATTTGCCTCTGATAAGACCCAATCATTCAGCACACTTTTGCCCCTATAATGGCAGTATCTCAACCTATGGATCAGTAAGCAGCTGTATAAGTGCCAAGGGGTGGAATATCGAACGTCTTGCAGGGCCCAACCCAATCAAAACACTGATTTCCCCTTTATTCCCTACTCGATATCGATCGGCCAGAGTAGTAATCCTCCCCCTCCATATATGTGAGGCATTTTGGCAAAATAAGACAGAACGTGGCACAGGCCATAGTGGAGAAAAATGAAAAACTTAAAGGGAAAATACAACATTTGCAAACATCAAAAAATAAAACTACCAAATCATTTTGAAATACCTTGCTGGACTGTTAGTGAATGACAGTGTAAAGCATCCTGTAAAATCATGGCACCTGGTATACTGTCATTTTCAAGAAAAGTGGTATTTTTGTATCAATTTCCAACGCTGATCGGCCGATCAGCGTTGGAAAAAACTGGCTTTTTTTTTCAAATACTGGCCCCAATTGACCATCGCACTTGTTTGCAATCGATTACACACCTATGAACGGGTACGAGCCAGCTAGACTGGTTCCCTGACCTTACAATTCCCCAATGTATGTAAACTGCTCTGTTTCTTCTTATATGGAGTCAGGGAACCAGACTACAGGAAAATGATTGTTTTTCTTGGTTTTTATAGCATTTTCGAACCCAAAACCTCAAAAACGTCAGTGTAACTACCGCGTATATTTGCTATATATTTCCAACCCCCCAATTCCATCCATTTCTGAAAATTACAGCAAAAGCAAATGATGTATATTCCCTTTAATATCTTACCTTTGATATGTCTACCACACATATTTTAAAGGAATTGTATCCAAAACGCGGAGTTAAGTGGGTTTTTTTTATGGAAAACTAACTTGCATCTTTCATTTGCATGACTACAAAACTCGAAACTTTAAAGGCCTTTATTCCCTCAGTATTTTACTTTTTGACATGCCGATAAGTGCAAACTTTAAACAGCCATAACTTGTCAACGGAATGTCCGATTGAAGTGAAACAAACAGTATTGTAAGGAGAATTGTATTCTCTTTCCTAATACCCGCAAACCCTCATTTCGACCTCTGCCCAGTTCTGTCTCATTTTGCCAGAATGCCCCACATATTCTGGATGAATGGAGCTTCTATGTGTGAGAGGGAAATTTTTTTTTTTTTTTGTGGTGGGCCGAGTCCTTGATTATACTTTCATGGGGTTTTTATATTGTTATTGAGAAAATGGAATGTTCCACCGCGTTCACTGTGGTCCTTTTGTTCGTCAAAATAGGGAAGGAGGTTTATAAAAATTGAAGATTTTTTTTCCCGCTGTCCCCTCTACGTTTGTAGCTCATACAAGTGCTGTTCGTGTTGTAAGACATTTCTGGTGCTGGTCATTTGGTGTTTTCATTTCTTTTTGTGGTATATATTTCATTGGAAACACTGCTCTCTCTTGGTTTGGAAACACTGCTCTCTCTTGTAAGCCTTACATTTTGTATCTATCGGTAGTTTCATGGCGAAATCAGTGGAATACTCATACACGTATATTTATTTAGAAATTTCCTGTCCTTTTAAATTTTTGTGTGGAAGAAGGATCGTCGCTACATTCTTAAAGCTATAGTCCATCATTTGCAGCCATCCGAAAAGTAACTGGCGTAATTATTGTTGAAAAACAAACTTGGTTGAAAGATAGTAAGGGAACTAAACTCCCTGTGAAATTATTCTTTCTGGGAAGCTGTCATTTTGAAGTAATCAACGAAAGAAGGCATTTCCAACGGTGATTCTTAAGAAGCACCGTAGGAAAATTTAAATTAGTAGTTCGTTTTGTTATTCAGCGCAGCGCGCACAAGTATTGGAACGACGCACACGCACGCGCGGTTGTTATAATTCGTCGGATCAGTGCGCGACGTCGCGTATAGCTGCAATTCAAAACAATTCAAAACGTGATTCAGTAACTTTTGATTTGAAATTGAGATCTTAGAATGCTGTTTTTCTCGGAATGTACAGCTACAGCTGAAGCTTAGCTGAAACTTCATCAGGTTAGTTGCTCAGTATCCTTCATTAGATTTTGAACTCTTTTGTTGCTTCAAACGAACAAAATGCACAAAATTACAAATGATGGATGGTAGCTTTAATAAGCGCATCTATATGTGTACATGTGCAGTTGGAATATGGAACTGTCTTATTGAAAGTACGATATCTGTTCTGTAAGCCAAAACATACATGTTTTCTACACATGTATCATGGTTTTTCCTTTTTACATTCACTCGTTCACATCTTGGTTTGGTTTTAAAGAGGTTGTGGAATGCTCGAAGACATTTCCGTCATTTTTCGGGTATGTGTAGCCTAAGGTGTGATGAAATAAAAACGACTATTGTGTCTGTCATGAAATGAGTACAAAAGGTACTTTTGAGAGCTGTTTTTCAGGTCCTGTTTCGACCCGAACGTGCAATTTGTGTAAAAGTCGTCGTTGGGGGCAGCAAACAAAACATAGTAAATCATGACGTAATAAACAGGATTCCCGATGCAGCGTAGTATAAACGAGTCCTGACGGATATAAACGAGAAAAATGACGGAAATGTCTTCGAGCATTCCACAACCTCTTTAAAACGTGGGCAAATCATATCACCATTCATCACTCACGCATGACATACAATCGTTACATTTCATCTTTGGGATTGCATACCGGTGCTACATTCCATCTGCTTTAGACGACCTCATTACATGATGATCTTGTACTTCCATGCACTCCATGGTTTTTCATTCTTGTCATTCATAATCATGTTGAATTTTGCGCCATTAGTATTTTGTTTCAATTTTCATTGACATCAAATGCCTTTTTGTTTGCTCGCTTTCCGAAGGAAGGGCGAATCTCGTTGAAGGTACAGGTGTTTTTGTTGATTAGGTTAAGAACATGTATAAAAGTTGTACATTGTTTAATTTGTGATTAATATTTAAATATCAAAGACTACGGTAGGAAAGCCCTATGAAAATTCACATCATACTTATGGTGATGCTCATCGCATGAACATCAATTAAGTTTATGCATATGATGGAATTTGTGTCGGGGAGATTAGGTTTTGCCCTTCACCAACGTATATACACACTGTATACTTAGTGTGTTACCTCCCGAGTGAAAGTGAGAAAACAAAAATCACTTGGTTGGGACTCGAACCCACGACCTCCTGCTTTCTAGTGCAGATGTCTTACCACTCGACCACCGAGCTAACGGGATCGGGTGGCTGGTTCGAATCTGATGTACGTAGCAGCGGGTACCGCATAAACTATTATAAGATGGAATTTTGCGTCGGGGTGATATCAATCAAATTAGGTTTTGCCCTTCACCAACGTTTAAACACTGTATACTCAGTGTGTTACCTCCCGAGTGAGGAAAAAAAATCACTCAGTTGGGACTCGAACCCGCAACCTCCTACTTTATAGTGCAGATGTTTTGTTTTTTTGGCACAACAGATCCGCTTTGCAAGCAGACTGGTTCCCGGTCCGTACACTATCGATACTAATTGTGGAACAGAAACCAATCTACTCTCTGAGAACGGAATTATTGTCTTGCAACCAATAGTAAAATAAGGTTTTTTTGGTCTGCACTCAACCTAATATTGAATTTACATCACGGATGTGTAACCGATTGCAAACAAAATGTGGACTAACTAAATTTGGGAAATTGGGGGCAGTATTTGAAAAAAGTCAGTTTTTTCCAACGATGGTTGGCCAACCATTGTTGGAAATTGAAACAAAAATTCCACTTATCTTGAAAATGACAGCACACCAAGTGCCATGACTTCACAGGATGCTGGAGACTACTATTGACTTACAGTCAAGTAAGGTATTTCATGATAGTTTGGTAGTTTTGTTTTTTGATGTTTTCAAATGTTGTATAACAATAACGCTTAGTACTGTTCGGAAATAAAATTGAAGTGCAAACATTTTTGTTCAACTTCTTTTAAATTGGGTCCAGTTCTACTTCAGCAGTAATGGTATGCCATGAATAGTGCCCTCAATGGTAGACGCACGGAGCTGGTTTAAATCCAAATTTATATAACATGTATATTTTTTTTAACGATTTTGCAGGTCTGATCTACGGGTCCAACCGCGGCAGCCGCAATCTCTCCTTAGAGGCCACCTCGCGTTTCTCCCTGTCCCAGTACATGACGGACTGGTCATTGGTGAGCTCGTCCAGGACCAGCATGATCGGAGAGAACGGACTCCTGGACACCCCGCCCACTGATGGGGGAGGGGGAGGAGGAGGAGGAGGAGGGGGCGGAGTCACAGGACACAAGGAAGGGGCGGAGGAAAACGCCGGAGGGATTGATGAGACCTCAGAGTGGGCGCAGGTAAGCACTTTAAACTGATAATCAATTTTATCGCTAAATGATCAAATTATTTATAAGCAGCAAAATTTCTTTTGTGGTCTTGGCATACAATGTATGCACATAGGAACAATTTATCATAAGCTTTGTGGTGATATAAAGTTTACCGGCACTTTCTTAATGGATTTTCAGTTCGGCCTATCGTAAATAGGTCATTTATTGCAATGAGGATTGAGCTGTGGTGCTCCGAGTCAAATGGTGCTTGGAGCTGCCCTTGGGCCTTTGTGGGTGCCCAAAAAAACGGAAGAGCTATGGTCTCCGAGTCAAATGGTGCTTGGATGAGCTATTGGTGCTCTGGGCCTTTGAGGTGCCCAAAATTTGAATATTAATAATAATAATAATGTGCTGCATGCATGATGGGTCGGCTGCCCAGATTTCGGTACCCGACATTTTTTTAATAAAAACCTTTTGGCTGAGGCGTGCACACACAAAATTTTCTGTGTTGCTTGTGATTTTTTTTTTTGTCTGCTTGAAATTTATTGTGTAACGTTAGGGTTTGAAAAATACATATTCGGGTTTATTCTCTGGCTGTTAACCAGTTCGCCTCGGATGACGTGTATACACGCAACTGTTTTGCAGTATTCGGAACGGATGACGGATAAACACGCAATGAGCGAGGCCAGAAATATCTGTCTGCGACCCGCTCACAGCGAGCGAGGCTGGAAATATCAGGGTGTGCTGCCCGCAGATGACGGCCTGAACCCGTCTGGCATCGAGGTTCATGAAAAACAATCCCGCGCCTGGATCCGGTCAATGTCAGAATAATCCCGGCGCGAAGTGGTTAAAAGCTCTGTCACAGACATCATGCTTGAGTTGCCCTGACCTTGATCGACTTTCAATGTTTTCTCCTTTTGTTTCTTTTTTCCTCCAGATTGAGAGCATCATGGCATCCTTCGGAGCAGGTCTGGTCCGGGAATCGGTCTACATCAGAGACTTCCAGAAGGAGTTTGAAAAAATGTTTGAAGGTAATTAACCCTTATGGCGGCCATCTTGGTCTTGTTCCCAGAAGCATAAAATGACAGTTATCATCATGTGTGGCATGAGAATAGGGTATCGATGTACTAGTAAAATGTCCTGAACCATTTCTTGGCCATGTATATATTATTTTGAGAAAGTTTGGAGGGTTCAAAACAAAATCGAATGAAAAAGTGAAAATGTTAAATATGCTATTTGGTGACTTGGAGCAAGGCTGAAAAATAGTCTTGACGGAGGAAAGTAGCCATTTTGGTATAAAATGCAGTAGCCATCTTGGAAAATGAGCCCAATGTAATTTTTTTTTAAATTGGAATCTATCCATATTGTTTGGAAAAAGCTAGTTGCTACGTGTTTCTATGCATGATACACTACATGCCCTATTTTACATTTTTTTTTTAAGGAATTCTAAATTTCTTTTTCTATCAGGTCCCACTAAACCTCAGAGTGTTGGGGGCTGGCTGGACAATCTGGGCATGGGGCAATATGAAAACATGCTGATTGCTAACGGGTTTGACAACTTGGACTTTATGGTAGGTGGTACATTGTGATTGGTTTCTGATGACTTGTGATTGACTTGTACTGATTAATGACTTCACCTATGATTACTTGTGAACGGCTAATGACTTGACTTGTGTTAGTCTAGGGGCTAGGCATTGTTATGGTTTGATACGCAATAACCATAGAGCTATATTAAATTACCAGAGCGCTAACTCTTCATTCTTGCCTGCGGAGACGCTTTGAAGCCACTCTGGGCGCAGACATTTTGAATTCATGTGCGTGTTTGTAGAACACAATCAAAATAGATGGATTGAATTTTAAAAGTGTACTCTAAATGCAACGCGCAAGTGGAAGATACGCAAACAACTTAAGCGCGTCATGACGGTTCAAAAAACGTCACAGCGAAAGGCATCTGCAGCGGAGGGACGCGCACACGTTGCGCTGTTTGCGTAGAGCAAAATGAAACGCTCATTTGCTGATCATGCGTTTCGGTTTTGGGCTTGTTGGCTTCGATGACGCACCGGTATGGAATACAAACGCAGATATGCAAATAGCCGTACAAAAGCCGTACAAAATTTCGAGTTTTCCATAGGTTTGTGCACAAACATGGATGCGCCCATCAGGCATTACTTTGTACGTCAAGTTAGCGCTCTAGTAATTTAATATAGCACTATGGTGATAACCCACCGCCGCAGTAACCCGCCGCCACGAGAGGGCGTTATCACGACCAACAAATATCACCCATGAACCTGTCAGGAACAACGTCTAGAGAAACTTGTAACATCGCCCCCTAAAAAATAAGGGAAACTAGTGCGCATGCGTTACTTCTGCAGGCAATTACGGTCCATTTTCAGTCCCACGCACACAACAAAAGAGCTGACCAGTGAAGTTGCACAAAAGTCTTGCTGCATCTTTTATACTACTGGAAGAAATTTAAGACTTTGGTTCGGAACTACAATGAAATGTTTTGAATGCGCGCTGCATAGATTAGGCCAAACAGGTGCGCGCGCATTACACAACCGGTACGAATTTCCCTAGACGTTGTTCCTGAGAGGTTCGTGGCTGATATCGGTTGGTCATGACAATGCCCTCTCGCGGCGGCGAATTATCGCGTACCAGACTATAGCAACTTCTAGCCCCTAGACTGGGCTTGTGATTGTGAGTGATTGACTTGTGATTTGCAAGTGCTGATTGTGATGACTTCTGGTGACTTGTGATTGGCTATTGACGATTAACTTGTTATGACTTGTGATTGACTTGTGATGCTTGTGATTGGCTTGTGATTGACTTACGATTGTCTAGTGAGTGACTTGTGATGACATCTGAGTGACTTGTGAGTGACTTGTGATGACTCAATGACGGACTCATGACGACTTGTGATCACTAGAGACCAACCTCGTCCCCAGTGCTAACTTTATTTCCAACCGCGTTTCCAATAGTAAGCCCTGGATAGGAAACTTTCTTCCTGCATCCTGATTCGTTACCGCAATTTGCTAGTAATAGATTTTTTGTCGTGTACTTGGTGCTATAATTCACAACGTGCAGTACATGTTTTCGCGATCGTTCGTCCATGCCTTCTCGAAAATACTAATTTCCTTTTCAATTTGCTCATATTAATATGAAATATGATACTGCATGTTGTCTCGATAAGATCGTAACGGTTTGATTAAAAAAATCGTGTTTTCATAACTCACGCCGTGGCTCGCACTGCTACGAATTGACTCTGTTTTTACCCCAGACACCGCATACAAAAACAAACGCTAATGTAACGCATATCCAGGCACCAGACTGTTCCTCATTTGCATACGTGTTCAAAAATCTTGCACATGCAAATGATCCAATACCAGGGTGAGAGAGCAGGTAGTGGTGGGCGCGTACTGCTCGACACCTTGGGGAGGAGGTTGACTAGAGACAGACTTGTGAAAATGTATCACAACTCTTGCAGTACTGTCCACATTGGTGTTGTGTCTTGCAGGGAGGAAGCATTCTGGAGGATTCTGACCTGATTGAGATGGGGGTCATGGAGGAGCTGCATCGTAAGATCATCCTGCAGTCCACCAGCGCCCTCCCAGTCATGAAGACAATCAGTAAGCCCAAAATGTGTCACTTGACAGATCTTTGGAAATGACCTTCTTTTATTGTTTTCTTCAAATTGCCAGCATTCCAAGTATAGCTTTCAACACTATTTTCGTCAGTTACATTTTGGATAGCTGGAAAAGATCTACTCTACCTTTTAAATGTAGAGTACACGTATATCATCTGCAGCTATCCAAAAATGTTGACATTATTTTGACAACGACTGGACCCAGGCGCGGGATTGTTTTTCACAAACCTTGATGCCAGACGGGTTCAGGCTGTTATCTGCGGGTAGCACACCCTGATATTTCTGGCCTCGCTCACTGTGAGCGGGTCGCTGACAGATATTTCTGGCCTCGCTCGTTGCGTGTTTATCCGTCATCCGTTCCGAATACTGCAAAACCATTGCATGTAGACACGTCATCTGACATGAACTGGTTAAGCAGCTGGGCGTCAACTAAAGCAAACTAAAGTATTCACTTTTTTGTTGTTATCCAGCTCAAAAAGGCAGCATGCCCAGCTCTGTCTCGGAGTGGCTACGGAGCCTTCTCCTCAACGACTGCATACCCAACTTCCTAGCCAACGGGATCACCTCCATGGAACGCGCTATGGAACTCTGGGAAGTCGAGCTCGAAACCGTAAGTACAAGCAAAAAAGGTAGTCGGAAACCAAAACTGAATGTGGATTTTTGTTCCTCTCATGCAGCGAGTCCCTGGCAAGTACAGTGGTAGAGGGCGCTTTCACTATGATGAATCTTGGGAAATGTTCAGCAGTAGAGGGCGCTTTCACCATGATGAATCTTTGGAATGTTCAGCGGTAGAGGGCGCTTTCACCATGATGAATCTTGGGAATGTTCAGTGGTAGAGGGCGCTTTCACTATGATGAATCTTGGGAATGTTCAGTGGTAGAGGGCGCTTTCACCATGATGAATCTTGGGAATGTTCAGTGGTAGAGGGCGCTTTCACCATGATGAATCTTGGGAATGTTCAGTGGTAGAGGGCGCTTTCACTATGATGAATCTTTGGAATGTTCAGCGGTAGAGGGCGCTTTCACCATGATGAATCTTGGGAATGTTCAGTGGTAGAGGGCGCTTTCACCATGATGAATCTTGGGAATGTTCAGTGGAAGAGGGCGCTTTCACTATGATGAATCTTGGGAATGTTCAGCGGTAGAGGGCGCTGTCACCATGATGAATCTTGGGAACGTTGAGCGGTAGAGGGCGCTTTCACTAAGATGAATCTTGGGAATGTTCAGCGGTAGAGGGCACTTTCACCATGATGAATCTTGGAAATTATTTAGCAGTAGAGGGCGCTTTCACTATGATGAATCTTGGGAATGTTCAGTGGTAGAGGGCGCTTTCACCATGATGAATCTTGGGAATGTTCAGTGGTAGAGGGCGCTTTCACCATGATGAATCTTGGAAATTATTTAGCAGTAGAGGGCGCTTTCACTATGATGAATCTTGGGAATGTTCAGTGGTAGAGGGCGCTTTCACTATAATGAATCTTGGGAATGTTCAGTGGTAGAGGGCGCTTTCACCATGATGAATCTTGGGAATGTTCAGCGGTAGAGGGCGCTTTCACCATGATGAATCTTGGAAATTATTTAGCAGTAGAGGGCGCTTTCACCATGATGGATCTTGGGAATGTTCAGTGGTAGAGGGCGCTTTCACTATGATGAATCTGGGAATGTTCAGTGGTAGAGGGCGCTTTCACCATGATGAATCTTGGGAATGTTCAGTGGTAGAGGGCGCTTTCACTATGATGAATCTTGAGAATGTTGGCACTAGGACCCGATGGGATATGACATTTGATCACATTTGATCCGTTTTGGATTGACCCAGGTCCTTGAGGTTCACATGTTGGGGCATAGGAAGAGGATACTTGCTTCGTTGGGTGAGCGAAGGCACAGCGTAGCCAGCAGTGGGGGCAGTATACCCAGGCCTGACTCCCTGGAGCTCACCACTGATGACCTGGTAAGTAACACCTGTTTCAGACTTGGGCAAGTTTGCGCAAGAACTATTGTTAACCATAGTTCAACTAAGTTAGCCCAAACTCTGTCTAGTCGACGACGGTTGAACTACGCTAGTCGATTATTTTGAACCAGCCTACTGGGCCCGGTTGCATCGCTGGTTGTCAATAGCCTCGTCTTGTTACTTCAGTGCAGAGGCAACCATTGACAAGAGATTAAACGTAGCTAGTTGTACTACCCCCTGGTTGGCCTCGGAGATATCTCCCAGTTCATTCAACAGGTCAAAGGGCATAAACAATCCAAACATACTTGTGACCACCATATGTTGACAATGGTTCGACTAGAGTCATTCGCACTCTAATGTTACAGCGCATGCGCACTGTTCGACACCAACTAACCATTGGTTGACTAATGGTTGTTGCGCGAACTTTCCCTTGGTACTCCAAAGCCTTGCTAAACCAAACAGTTTTCAGAGCAACTCAAGTGGACCCAAATAGAATTTTGTTTTCAGCAAGCAGGGATGTCCCTTACAAGTCCATCCCCCTAAAAATATTTGTTCTGTTCAAAGCAAAACCAAATAAATTGAGACCGAAGGAGTCAGAGTTAGTCATCAAGTGACTGTGCTTTTTTTCTTCCAATCCAGGAGTTGAAGCTGTCCTCCTTTGAGCGGCGCAAGCAGCTCTCCAGCACGGCCTCGGAGCAGTCCGCCTCCCTGGACATCGACCTCTTCAAGGATTACTCTAAGGAGGTGTCCACCCCCACCAAGCCTAAACCCTTCTCCGCCCTGGACACGCCCGCCACGGCCGACGCCCAAACAGGGCGGGAGCCATCTCGGCAGCACTCGGACATTGAGGACTATGACAACATGACTGCGTCAGATAAGGTGACGAATAGGGTGTCAGACAGAGTGACCGAGAGTGTGAGAGATAGGCCGTCAGACAGGGTGGGGGACAGTGCGTCTAATTCCGAGGAGGTGGAAAACGGACCAGTTTCCCCTGCTATGCAATGGATGCATCCACCAGAGGCACTCATGAAGGGCTGTTGCAATTACACTGCGTCGGTGAGTATTTTTTTTGGGTGGGGGGTGTTCAAGAAAACAACTTTTTCTTGCTGATTTGAAGGAAACATGTGGCTTTCATGTGTTTTCCATCAGAGGCAATTCAAAGGGTCCGTGAAATGAGTTTTTCTTAGGAACATCTTTTGCGCAACTTTCTATTTTGTTACATTTCTAAACAGTCAACTGACCCGGAAAACAAAACAAAAATTCTGGCTTGGGCAACTGTGTCCACTTTTTGTGCGTGAACTTACCCAGTTTACGTGAAAATCGTCATCTCTCAGATTCAGATTCAGTAACTGAATCATACCATACGGCACTCACAACTTGACCTGCTGGTGGGCCTACATGTCATAGACCGTGCGTGATAGACTGCAAACCACTTTGGTCATACTGGGCACAGTGACTCTGCAATAAATATTGCATCCTGTGAATTTCTGGACTTTTTCTGGGGGTTTTTTTTGTTTAGTTTGGATTTTTCCAAGATGTCTTAACTGACCCGATCCGACCCGAAAATCGCAAACGCAAAACCGAAACCAACCCGACTGAAATGATGGACAAACTAACCTGACCCAAAGTCGGTTTCGGGTCGGCTTTGCACAATTCTATGTCAGAAGTGTTTGACACTGCCTTGATTCTTCTTCGGGGGAAACTTTGTAGGACCTACCTAAGAGAGTCAATTCCTTTTTTAAACAAATGGAGTTAAGATTTCAGATTTCGAATTTTTAATTGATTTGATCAATTTCTAGCATAGAGTGGCCCGATTCTGCTTTTAACTCACAAGTTTATTTTGTCTTGTTTTTCTAGTATCTTGGCTCGACGCTCGTGAAGGAAGTCAAAGGTTTGGACTCCACGCAGGAATCCTGCTCTAAGCTGCGGCGATCCGCCTCACACCTGCAGAAAGTCCCATCCATCACGCTGTCCATCAGCTACCTGGGCGTCAAATTCATCGACTTCAAATCTAAGGTATGGATAAGCCCCCAAAAAAGTGTCAAGTTTCTTGTATGGAGCTTGCCCAAAAGTGGTTCGGCGAGGCGGGTTTTTTTTTTTCCCCCTTACTTTTTTTCCTTCAAATGTCGGCTGATATTGCAGATGACGCTTTGATCCCCTTAAAACTCACAAAAATATCCCTCAGGGTGGAGCTTGAGATGACCTCAGTAAGGCCATACGGCTTGAGAATTCTGCACCCACTTACGATCTCGACCGACACGAGCATTCTTCAAGAAATTTGGATAGTTAAGAGAAAATCAGCGAAAACGGTAACGTCAGACCATACAGTGACATCGTGCCTTTGTCTGTGCTGCCAGGCTGGTCATTAGTCTGCTCCCTAACATATTGCGCTAAATATGGGAATTTATAAATTTAATTAAAAAGCGTTTACAGGTTCCAGATACATGACCATTGCTCCCTCAGTCTGGCTTCCAGACGCACAATTACAAGATAACAACACCATCTGCAAATGGTGCCCGACTAAATTCAGTACAAAATATATGGGAACCCAGAAAGGCCACATAAAGCTTATTCTCGACCATAACCCCTTCTAAAAACACGTTAAAATTGTGCAGCGGCAGGATTACAGTCAAACCAGTGAGTTTTGTGGTTTTGAGACATCATCTTACGTTGAACAAAATATAGTTTAATTTTGCCGATGCGCATGGCTACGGCGATGCGCGCTCAGACCAGAAACCGGAGACTTATTTCATGAAAGAACAGTGCATAACATTTTTTAGCCTACCCGCGAGTGCAAGATTCTGCAAATGTACTCAGGACACTCTGGCTCACAAGCCTGAAGAAACCTGTAGAGGGAATTTAAAGCTATCATGAAAAGTCATGGAAAAGTCGTGGAATGTTGTTATATATTTTACAAGTAGTCATTGAAAGTTGATATTCCAAGACAAAAAGTCATGGAAAAGTCACGGAATCCTACACAACACATACGTGAGGATGCGTACTATTTGGCTATAGCCTAGGCTGGTTTATACTTCAAGTGAAAGCAAGTGCGAAGTGAAATTCATGTTGTCAACAATGGTGGACGTGCTGTGAAATTATTGTTGACGTCACAAATTTTGCTTCGCTTTCACGTGAAGTATGAACGGGCCTTATGGCAGTCTTCCAGTTTGCATTCTACATGTAGTTTGCATTCCAGTGTATTATACTTCCTCTTTATGCATGTCTGCTCTACAGGGTGAGTAAAATAAAACGAAACCCAAATGTTGGGACCATTATTTTAGTGAAGTTCTGCATGTAGCATTTTCAAAATCTAGGATATGAAAGCCCAATTCAATAGCTTTCTTTTAGTACAAGAATCATTCAAATCACTCGTGTACTTTTCAAGTTACATAATTTTAAACACAACCACTGTTTAAAGGTTCTGTCCACGGATCACAAAAAAAGTTTGGCGTTCTTTCAGCAAAACGAAAACAAATCACATAAGGATGTGTGTGAATTGTTTTCGGGGTTTTTTTTGTGATCCGTGAACAGAACTTTAAAACGGCGGTTGTGTTTAAAATTACGTAACTTCAAAAATACATAAGTGATTTGAATGATTCTTCTACTAAAAGAAAGCTTATGAATTGGGCTTTTATATCCTAGATTTTGAAAGTGCTCCATGCAGAACTACACTAAAACAATGGTCCCAACATTTTGGTTTCGTTTTTTTTTTACTCACCCTCTATACTTGTTGCATGTTCAATGCACCATTGTGATGCTATTGTGGTGCTCAGTGGTCTTGTGTCAAACTGGAAGGCTGAAAGGGAGTGGTGTCCCTTGCCTCAGTGTGATGACTGACCAGTGAATTGTGCATGTAAAACGGGCTCCTAAGATGCCAAAACAGTGTAGGAATTGGTCATGGAAAGCCCGGATTTTGTTGCGAAACAGTCATGGAAAAGTCATTGCATTTCATTTTACAATTTCGGTGAGAATCCTGATTATGGGGATGCTACATAATCAGGTAGGGACTGAAAACCCAATCCGCATGTGGATCAGGGCGGGAATCGAACCTGAGTCACAGCGGTGGAAGGCGAGGAAAGATCCTATCCAGGCATGCAACTTTCCCTCGGATCTGCTGATTTCCTTGTTTCTTACTTCTCATGAATGCCATTACAAATTGATAAACGCTGTACAAAGTCTTGTGTGGTTTGGAATTTCCTGACTGCCCAGAAATTTGATCGGAATGTTTTTCTTTTTGCTCCTCCTTTACAGTTGATCATCACGGAGCATGAGATTTGTAACATATCCTGCGTCACGCAGGACTCGGACGACCTGAGGACCTTTGCCTACATCACCAAAGACAGCGAGAATGAGAAGCTGTATTGCCACGTGTTCAGCGTCAAGGTAGAGGTGAGAATACTAAGTGAACGTTGAGTCTATTCTCCTGATTCACATTACTCTTACCAACTTTCTAAAACATTCAAGTGACATGTTTCTCTTCCCGAATCTGATGAGAGCGCTTTGCTAAAGAAGGTTAATAATATAAATCCTTCTGTTCAGGAAAAGAAATTTGTAACGTGCATTTATTTATTCGTGTTTTACCCTTTTTTGTTTCTCCCAGGACACGGCTACAGAGATCATCATGACCTTGGGCCAGGCGTTTGAGATCGCCTACCAGATGCTCCTGAAATCCCGGCCAGGATCCCTGGAACACACCCGGCAGTTGTCCAACACCTCGGAACACGACCACAACACCAAATTATGAGGACCAACCTCAGGAAAACAACACTCTACTTTAACTCATACTGAACACCCTCTTTCAAATGCTATTGTTGGAGTAATCTCGTTAGCGAATTGCAAACACAAAGAAACAGTGCCTTAAGCACGCATTGAAAACTGGGTTGAGTTGTTTTAACTTTGTATTTCATTGGAGGGAAAACCCCTTCATGAACCTCTTTCTTAGGGAACATCTCAAAAGTCGGAACGTTCCCGTTCCGTATGGAACCTACGAAAAAGTACCCAGTGCTCTCTCCAAATGCTATTGTTGGTGTAATCTCATTGGCAAATTTCAAACATAAAGAAACAGTGCCTTAAGCACGCATTGAACACTGGGTTGATTTGTTCTTATCTTTGTAAATCATTGGAGAGAAAACCTCTACATGAACCTCTTTCTTAGGGAACGTCTCAAAAATCGGAACGTTCCCGTTCTGTATGGAACCTTCCTTTGAGGAACAATCAGGAATGCGCTGTGTTTCCAGCGTGTTCCCAACTGGAGCAGGCCGTTCCTGAAGCGTGCACACGCATAGACCAACGTTCCCATGCGGGATCACCTGGCGTTCCCGGGCTGTTCCCATTGGGAGCAACGCATGTTCCCACTTTGGAACGGGCGATGTTCCCTGATGGAACGTTCCAAGCGTTGCGACTTTGGAGACATTCCCTCCAGTTCGCGCCGGGATTATTTTGACATCGACCGGACCCAGGCGCAAGATTTCACGAACCTCAATGCCAGACGGGTCAGGCCGTCATCTGCAGGTAGCACACCCCGATATTTCCGGCCTCGCTTGCTGCAAGCGGGTCGCTGACAGATATTTCCACACTCGTTCGTTGTGTGTATTTCCGTCACCCGTTCCGAATACCGCAAAACCTTTGCGTGTATACACGTCATCTGACATGCACTGATCAACCTTCTTTATACCCAACGTAAGATGTACTGAATGCAAGGTCATCTATTGAACATAGACATTGACAAAACGGGGGAACCGCAATCATAGTGCTGGATAGCTCAGTTGGTAGAGCACCGGAACGGCAATCCGGAGGTCGCAGGTTCAAACCCCGCTCCAGTCAATTTCTTTGCTCAACATTAAAAGAGTCATTTATTTCTGACGATATTTAGAAGTCATGTACTCAGGAGTCATAATTATAATAATAAAAGAAACAAAAAGTAAGGTATTTTTAAAATGCTTTTATGTTTGTGCGTGAATCCTCCCATTTTTTTACGATGTTCTCAAATATTAAGTTTTTAGAACTGTAATGCTGAGTTTTCATTCACAATGTTAAAGTTGTTGAAATGTACGTCAACTTTGTAAATTGAAATATCTATCATTGCCTTTTTAGCAAAAAAATAAGGACTACTGATGAAAAAAAAAATCTACTTTTATTTGGCAAACTCGACATCACTATGGATGAACGAACTTTGTAAATTGTTTTAAAAATACCTCTATTTCACGAACCTCTCCTATTTGTAATGATTTTTTACTAACGTTCTGACTTGTTCAGAGAATCAGACTTCGCATATATATATTTCTTCCACCGATCGCATTTTTTATGACTTTGCCATCAGGAGCTGCTATTTTTAACTAAGATTTTTCTCTCTCACAAAATTTTCCCACCGTGGCTTGCAATTTGTATTTGCATTTTCAAAGTAAATCGGCAATTCCAGCGTTAAGTCCGTGACAGAGCTTTTAAGAGCTCAGTGAATAAACCCGAAAATGTATTTTTCAGATCTTATACATCCATCATCTTGCAATGGTTAAGGAGATTACAGACTAGAAGTTTTGGACCATTTCTCTGAATCATTAATTTATATCATGGTTACCTGGCTCTGTCACGGACTTTACACTTCCTTCCGTAATGATGGAATTGGCCAAATGTTTTTTGGGACATCTGTAGAAAATGATTATAGATCTTAGCTGGCCAGTTGAACACATATATGCAACAAGGTGTTAAAGCTACAGTCCATCATTTGCAGCTATCCAAAAGTAACTGACGTAATTATTGTTGAAAAACATACTTGGTTGAAAGATAGTAATGCCACTAAACTCTCTGTGAAAGTATTCGTTCTGGCATGCTGTCATTTTGAAGAAAACAATGAAAGAAGGCCTTTTCCAACGATGCGTCTAAAGACGCATTTTTGGAAATTTCCGTTTGTAGTTCATTTTTAATTCAGCAAAGCGCGCGCAGGCGTTGACACGACGCACAGGTGTGCGCAGTTGCTATAAATCGTTGGTTCAGTGCGCGACATCGCGTAGCTGCAACTAGCTGAATGAGAACGTGTCCCGGACGCTGAATTCGGGCGCAATTCAAAACATGACTCGGCAACTTTTGATTTGAAATCAAGATCCTAGAATATTGTTTTCTCGGTATATGCAGCATTCACTGAGCTGAAACTTCATCAGGTTAGTTGTTCAGCACCCTTCTTTTTAGATTTTGAGCACTTTGGTTGCTTCAAACGAACAATATGCACAAATGATAAAAGATGGGAATCTACCTTTAACACTTTTTTTTATTTCAAAGTTGAATGCATTGTACTAATGTGGGCGGGGCACACCCTCCCCCCGCTATAATTTGTCATTTTTTACTACATTTGAAATAATGCTCTTTAAACGATAATTCATCAGTATTTGCTTGTAAAGTCTTATTTTAAAATGCTGACGTTTCTTCTTGTTCATTTTATAATTTGTATAATTTTGTATTTTTGTATCTTTAAAAAAAGTATAGTACCTTAACTCTTGACAGTTTTGCTGAACAAATTGTAAATATGTATATATGCAGAATATGTAAAGGAATATATATATTTGATATTTGACGTCGTTCTCAGTATGTGCTCGGTCGAATGTGTGCAAACGCAATCATTTTACAGTAAGAGTAAAACAATATTGCTTCTATTTAATGTTACTTTTTTTTATTACAGGTTTTCCCTGCCAATTTCCTAAAATGTTCATTCACTTCTTAAAATCGGTCATTCATTTTCATCTGAATTTGAGAATCGCTCTGAACACGCGTTTCATTTTCGCTACCAGAGCATTCGATTCCATTTCAGTTCAACCAGTTAAGTGATTGAGCAGCACCTTTTGTCTATGTCCATTCAGATTCGTTTACAAGACTTCTTTTTCGCTTTTAGATGGCGATTTCAAACATTCACCATTCTATTTCACTTTTAGTTTAATGCCATCGGCACTAGATACAATTAGGGGTTTCTTTTTTCATTAACCGTCACTCAAATTAGCTGTACCTGAAATCAATTTAGAAAAGGTATGCTCGCGTAAATGAATGCACAGGTAACGTAATTGGCCGTCGGTTTCTCAAAACCGAAGGCACAGACAATGAAAATGATTGAACTTGCGTTAAAATGAAATGGAATTAGAGACGTGCATTCAAACTCAGACGAAAATGAATGACCGATTTTCAGAAGTGAATGAACATTCCAGGAAATTGGCCAGGAAAACCTATATTTGGTATTTGGTCTTCACAAAATAGACTTTGTGCATAGCAGCCATTTTGAAGGGCATGTTTTGGTTATGTGAATTCGGTGAATGAACAATAGGTCTACGCATGCCGATGTAATCAGAACAGAACCACTGCTCTCACAGATGGCCACCATGCAGAAGGTCACGCGATTGTCACAATTAACGCGCTTGAAGATATTTTACTCATTTAGAATATTACGATACAGTATTGTCTATTTCGAGATATTGAGGTCAATATTTTACATAAATATCTGGTGTTGCGTAACTAAACATGAGTATACAATTCGTCTTGAACGAGTGACATAATAAAGTACATGGGATTAAATTGCTAAGTCCCCCCCCCCCATTTCATTGCCCCGCCCACCTCTTATCGAAATTGTACAATTATAAAAAAATAAGACTGTCTCTAAGTATCCCCAAGTTGTCATTTCTGAGCCCATCACAAGTTAATCACTAGTCAATCACTAATCATAGCAGGTCAATCACAAGTCGATCACTAGTAATCACAAGTCAGTCTCTAGTAATCACAAGTCAATCACAAGTCAATCACAAGTCAATCATCGGTCAATCATAAGGCGATCACTTGCAATCACAAGTCATCACATATTAATCAGAGATTAGTCACTAGCCAGTCAAAACAGACAGTTAAAATGTCCATCCACTTCCCCTGCTATAAGTTTAACACAGGCTAGTCACCAGCAGTCAGATCATATGTCAAGTTAGCCACCGTTACTAGTCAAACTCAGTCGACAGACCATGAACAGACAAAGGGCTGTCTCGAGTTATATTAACTGTCCTGGCCAGTCAATCCTGCTTTATGTAGGCTGGGAATTAACTGTTGAAAACAGTCACTTGATTGATTTTGACTGAAAGGACTACTTGGCACAGAGTGTTTGTTTGCATAGGAGGGCTATCCAAAGTCAATCGCAAGTCATCACAAGTCAATCATACGCCTATCACAAATTCATCACAAGTCAATCGCAAGTCAAATCACAAGTCCAGTTATAACTGTGACAAAAGCAAATGGACTTAACTCAATCTCGTTTGTTTCCTTTTTTTTTTTAATTAATACATTGTATATCACCAACATGTGTTATCCAAGACTTTTAAACGATTCAGATTTTGCTTTAAAATGCATAATCACTTACCACTTTTTTATTCCTATTTTCTTTGGTGCTCTGTAATAAATGTTGGACTTCAGTTTTATTGAGGCTTATCAAAAGTTCTGGTTGAAACTGCAGCTACAAAGTGGGATTTTTTTTTAATGTTTGTCTGATTGTAAAAACAAAATTAAGAATCCTCAAAATTTTCCAATACCTGTATTCTCGATCCTAATTCCAACTTTATTTACCCTAAACCTACCAGATCCATCAAAATCCATGAGGTTTTTGAAGGATATTGTAGGATTGAGGAAGGTTCAGAGCGTAGAATCATTACAGGGGAGTTGGACGCCTTTTGAAATAGATTTGGAGGATATAGGAAGGTTTGAATGAAAACAAATTTTGGAGTCGTTCTGGCAAAATACACAACTGGGCAGAGGTCAAAATGAGGGTTTGCAGATATCATGAGCGAAAACAATTCTCCTTACAGTACTGTTTGTTGCTCTTCAATTTGACACTCCATTGACAAGTTATGGCTGTTTAAAGTTCGCATTTATCGACATGTCATAAAAGTAAAATACTGAGAAAAAAGGCCTTTAAAATTCGATTGTTTTGCTGTCGTGAAAATGAAAGATGCCAATTGTATTTCCTTACAGACACATTTATTTCTCGATTTTTATACTATTTCCTTATTAAAAATATGTGTAGTAGACATCAAAGATAACAAATATCAATAAATCCGATAATCGAAAAAATAAAAAATATATTACCCCATTCAGTTTTTGGCATTTTTCTCCATTTCAGCCTGTGCTAAGTTTCGTCTCATTTTGCCAGCACGACTTAATTTGGAAGAAAAAACCTCAAGGATGTACCATAGCATTTCCTTCATTAGAAAATAGTTTTCTTTCATGACTCTTTACCACTGAAAAATCAATTCAGTGATTTTTTTTTTGTTAGAAGATCAGATTTTGTTTCAATGCTACGGTGCCGAAGTTGTTGCTTTTTAATTCTTTCATCAGTACAGTTTTATTTGTTAAAATAAACTATGCATTGCAGTTGTCCATTGTTCTGTAAATTTATGAACATTTTATTTATCATCGCACCCCACTGGGCAATACTTTGGGCGTTTGTGGACTCTAAGAAGTCTTCTATTTTTCCCTTTTCTTTTTTCTCCTCCTTGAAACTTGTCCAATTTGGATTTTGGTTTTTTGGCCTGGCTGTTATTTATGCAAATGTTATTTGCCTGTCAACAATTGTTCGTATTGAGAGCAACAATTTGTTATTGTTTGTACTAACTCCAGACATGCCAGGATAATGTGAATATGACCGACATATATAAATGTCTTATGTTTTCTTCTTTTTCAAAGGAAAATTAATGTTTTTCATTATGTGTTGTTGTTGTTGAGTTGTCTTTATTACATGATTTATTTATAAACATAAGTGAGACAATAAACGAGGCAGGGGCAGCCGGGGTAAAAAAAAAAAAAAAACTCAAATGCTACTCAGGGTGACTAATTCAAGTGATAATTTCTACGCGAGTCATAAGCATATAAAGTGCCCCCACAATTTCGTTTGAAACGGAGACCGTTTGGCTTTAAAAAAAAACAGTGGAATTGTGTAAATAGGCCTATACCCAGGGATCAACTCCCCGGTTTTGGGGCTTCCATCTGAGGGCAGGCTTGATAAAAATACGGATGAAAAATGGGTCCTATTTGCCTGTGAAAGTGGAAGGATGCCACTTGTAAAATGACTACATGCAGGCTTGGGAACTATTACTTATCGGGAGGTGATGGGTGTGAATATTTAAAAATGTAATTGGCCAATGTACCTAAAATTGAACAGAAATGAAAAGATGAAGACAAGACAATAATTTAATTTTTGTTTCAGAAACCCCAGTGATGTTGGCTTGCATGTTACTTGGCCCTGAACTTTGTTGATTTTACACTGTTTTCAATGGGGCTTGAATTAGTACAGTGGACCCCTCAGTTTCCGTAAATATAGGTCAATTGTTTGGCTTCTATTAAAATAATTGCTCAACATTTTTTCTTGAAATTTAATAGACGTATGACTGACATACATTTCAATCAATAGACAAAAGGTCATTTGAATACAACAGGTGTTTCTGGAGATATCGTCTGGAAAACGAGTACATTACCGAGTTTTTAGCACACTTTTGCTAATTTAACATATTTTGTCAAAAGAGGGCGCACTGCACAAATGCTGGTCAACATAGAGGATTTTCTTCAACATGAGAAACTCCTGCCTAACCGAAGTCAACTTTATTAATTGAACTGAACGAAAGTTATTTGTTTCATATTTCCTCTTGAAATTTAACACTCTTGCTAAGAATATCACTAGTAATCAATAGAGAAAAATTGCAATTATTCGACACAAAAGGTATTTCGGGAGATATCGTCTGGAAAACGATTACGTTAAATATGCATTTTTTTTGTCGCACTGTTTTACATTTCCTCTTGAAATAGGCGACGGTCTCACTTACAATCAAATGGAGAAAAACAATTTTCAGTACAATAGGTAATTCTTGAGTTATCTTCTGCACAACGAGTATTTTAATTACTTTCGTTCAATTAAAGTTGACTTGAATTTGGCATTGCATTTTTTTTTCGCGCTTACCACAATAATTATAGGCCCTAATTGTTTTGCTTTTGTTAAAATTAGTGTTTGGCATTTCCTCTGCATTTGAAGCATACTCTTGTTCAAAAGTGTTGACATCTACTGTTTAATATGGGCAAAATAACATGTAATGATTTGTGTATGTTCTTGACTCTGATTTTTGTTTTCATCTACAAACAAAAATTGTGCCGCATGGCATTTATTAATTGAACTGAACGAAAGTTATTTGTTTCATATAACCACTTAAGAGGTGTTTGCACAGTATACAACCAGAACCAGAACCAGTTCATGCACCAGTTTCCGAGGTCCATTAAAAAAATGATAGGGGGCGCTATTTAACCTCACCGTGTCGACGTGTATCCGGAAGTCATTGAATTTTTTTTCAGACACGGCGGGTGTTTAAACGCTAGCTATGTCATGTATGTCGTAGTGACGTAGTGTCAGTTTTTATTAGGAAAATTTGGCTTTTGATGTTTCTGATGTTTGTCCTTCTAACTGAAGCATAGTCTTTTTCGGAAAGAATGTGGTAGGCCGTAGTAGTACTGGGAGATGCCACTTGTTGCTTGTTTCAATGTTTGGTTGTGTACAAAGTCTATGGACGTGATGGAGAGTTGATCGAGTGCATTTTCAAAGTATTTTCTAACAAAATTGGAAATGTTTCTCAGTCCCAGATTCTTGTCTGTTCAACATTTGGAAAAAATGTTGCAACCTAACGCCACTTTTTCCTTCATATATCATCTCAATGAAGGTCATTCATTGAAAAAATGATGATAAGACATGAATCTGGGACTGAGAAACATTTCCAATTTTGTAAAGATAAATAGTCCGAGTAACTAGGACTCTACGAATCGCCTTTTTAACATTTTGACCATGTTTAATTGTTAAAAAAAGGTGATCCGTAGATTTCTAGTTACTCGGACTCATAATGGAACAGGGTCCTAAACCACACTTTACCACTAAACTGATGAAGATAATAAGGGAAAGAGTTCCAATTACCTGGACATCATTTGACACCCTGTGCACAAACCCAATGAGACTGGTCTAAAAAAATATGTTTTCTCAATAAATGCTTCAATATTTTCCCTGCTAAATTTATGTGACTTTACATGTTAATAATTGTTACCACTTTCTGATGGCTGATACATGTCGGTCAATGTCATTGCAGGCGGGAAAAATTAGTGATGGCCGGCCATGTATCGAATTCTTTCCATAATATTAATAAGATAATTGATTTGAAGTTGAGCTGTCAAAAATAACCTTTGACTATTCACTCACTTCTTTTAATTAAAATTTTTAATGCAGTTTATACATTTTTGATGATAATATCTTTTTCCACAAATTTCAGAAAACACTCTCAACCTAAGCAACGATGCCGAGATGTGGCCTGGCTTTCATCCCAGTCAGCTTGGTAGTCATAGCAACACTGTTGATAGGCATCACATTTCCTCTGGCCGTTGCAAATAATGACGTGGCTCCGTTCTTTCCCTATCTCAGGTAAAACAGTAAACAAAAACGTTACGTAAAACACTAGTCCGAAAATTTGGGACTCTCTCAATACTGTGTATGAGAGTCCCAAAACTTGAGGTATTGAAAACATGCAATAAAAGAAGCAACCAGTCCAACACCGCTTCAGTACTGCATCAATCAACTGTGCCAAAATAAACATGTGGCATGAACCGGGAACTAGTCTCTATTTACTACACATTTCTCCATAGTCTGCCACGTACCAGACTAATACCGTGGCGTAGCCGTGGGGGGGCGGCAGAACCTCATGAAACCTTGTCGCCCCCCAGTTGCCCCCCCTCCCCCCCCCCACTCCCGTTGTCCCCCCCCCCCCCCCCCACCATTGAGATGTTGAGTTTCTAAAAAAATTATCATTGATCTACATGACGCCCCCCAATGAAATGTTCCAGCGCCCCCGCCCACTGAAAAATTCCTGGCTACGCCACTGGACTAATATGAATGAAGAGGTCATTTTTATCAAACAGTTGGACCATGGTTGGACATGTACCAGTCTAGTCTTTAGCCTCGTTTTGAAATCACTTGACTTCCATCTCATTTGCAAAATATTTGAGAAAAGTCTCCTTTAAAAATTGAATTGAGTCTTCAAACATGGTTGTTGAAATACTGAGGACCTTTTCTTTGCCCAATGAACATTTTGGAGAATTTTGCTGGCTGAAGAGTGAGTAAAGTTGGCCTGATTTAGTTTTGCATGTTTTTCAGTCCCAGTCTGGCCATAATGCAGCCAGTCATAGTCCGAGTAACTTGGACCCAACTTATCGCCTTTTTTAACATTTTGGACATGGTCTATCGCCAGACCATGTCCAAAATGTTAAAAAAGGCGATAAGTTGGGTCCAAGTTACTCGGACTAAGCCAGTCATAGGGCCTAAACTCCTCATAAATGTGCCACATCGAGAGTGTTTTTGGTGTTTAGAATAAAATGACTTTTTCATGTATTCTGTGAAGTCGTCGGATAATGTGTACAATCTGTAATTTCCTGGCAGTTTTCTGGGCTCCAAGCCGCCAGCATCCATCGTGTTCAGCTACTTGTTGTATGCGTCATCTCTGCTTGGTACGTTGAATGTAAATGTGATAGTCATTCAATAAGCCAGAGGCCGATTTCACAAAACGCTGAGACACGTTTTAGACTCGGAGGGTAATTCGTCTTAACTCGCGACTCGTCCTAGGATCGATTTCACCAAACTTAAGACGCGTTTAGCACGTCCTAACTTCCTTAGCAAAAAAAATGAAAGTTTTTTAATAACTACACATTACAGACCATATTTTTTTAGTTTTACATTCTTCAGTTTTGTTTCTACATTTGATAACTCATTCAGTTAACATAAATTGAGGAAAGAATGCAGTATCTAGACGTAACTTAAGTGGTTGTGTACAAGTCAATGGAGAGTCAAGAAAATTGTCTAAGTATTTCCTAACAAACTTGGATATGTTTCTCAGTCCCAGATTCATATCTTTTCAACATTTTTGCAATAATAATATAATAATTGTGCTTATATAGCGCTTTCCATCGTATCAACAATCTCAAAGTGCTGCACAATTATTCCCCGTTCATCAGGCCATGGGACCACGCGGCAACCGATATCAGCGCACATTCAGCCCCCTACCCTCACAGGTACCCATTCATACTCCTGGGTGGAGAGAGGCAATTGTAGTTAAGTGTCTCGCTCAAGGGCACAAACACCATGTTCCTGGCAGGGTTTGAACCCACGCACCTTCGTACATGAGTCAAACACCGTAACCACTGGACCATGGCGTTCTACCAATGACTGACCTTTTAATATTGAGATGATATATGGAGATAAAAAGTGGCGTCAGGTTGCAACATTCATTCCTAAATTAAATTTGAGGCCAAATTATCTTCTTATTAAAACGATGGCATTGAAACGGTTGGTTGCACCACACTAATGAGCTATGCAGTTTTTTCTAAGTAGTACGTTTGTCAACTTAATTTTCTTCATGATTTGTTGTGTGTGATGAAAAAAAAACATTAAATTTGTTTATTTTGACCCTCATTTAACACTCTTTAGTTTATATACTGTTTTTGCCTTTGTTCTCTTCAAGTTGTCGCAGGTTCCTATGTTAGATACAGACTGGTGCGGCTGAGTACCGGCGATCTGTCCAAGCACTCCCGACGGCTCAACATCGCCGGGTTTGTCCTGGGTATCGCAGCCGGGGTGGGGATGTCGGTAGTGGCAACGGTCAGGGTGAGTTTTGGCCGGGGATTTGATTTTGAGTGAGGGCGCTATACCAATGGCCTTGCTCTTGAGTAAAGGTTTTTGGACCGCATCTACACTACCAAAGATTTTACGCTGCCTGTTAAATGGTTAACTACCTGCTAGATGCATTGGCGTAGCTTAGGTTCTCGCCAATGTTGGGGAGGGGTGTGAGTGGAGGGGGGCTGGATGTTACAGTTGAGGGGGGGGGGGGGCAATTGCTTTTAAACCCGTTAACCATGGTCACTTATAGGACTAACAAATTCCAAGGGGGGGGGGCGACTGGGAGGCGACAAATTTGTTGGGGGGCCCGGCTACGCTGCTGGCTAGATGTGTACATCACCCATTTCATATTACATGTATAGCTATCAAAAAGAAAGACGGCATGAGTTCCTTGATCTTCAGTGTTAAAAAGATAAATAACAACGTGAAGATCAAAGTGTCTCAGTATAATAAAGTAATCTTTCTCACTGCCACAGTTCGTGAATAATTTAGGATCAGTTGTACGGATCATTTTCCTTGGATGACTGATAATAGTATGGCTCATATGCAGTGTTTGTATAAAATACAGGATGTCTCAAACAAACAAACAAATGACCTCAAAGCCCACTCTTTTTCACACCTTTAAAAAAAATCCTCGGAAATATCAAAACATGTGGAGATTATATTTCACTAGCTTTTCACCAACAAAAGCATCTTTCCAATCGGGTAAATATTTATTGAGTTATGGCCAATTCAAAATAAGTGTCGATTTTCCAATCTGTCCACGGTCTCAATTGTCATTCATTAGGAATGTAATGGATTTGGGGTGAGGGTAGTTTTGCTTTCTTTAATGTTTTTATCTTTCTTTCTTTATTTATTTGGTGGACAAAATGAAGAAAAAAAACAGTACTTGTGGTCAGTTGGCCATAACTCATAAACTCAATAATAATTTACCTGAATGGAAAGATTATGTCGGTGTTGAAAAGCTAATGGAATACATTCTCTAAATGTGTATCGATAATTGCCATGTATTTTTTTTAAGCTGTGAAAAAAAGGGTTTGAATTTTTTTTTTTATTATTTATTAGTCATCCTGTATTACATTTCAGTAAATTTTTTTTCTGATTTAATTTTCTTACATATGTAATCTATTGGTTTGCTTCCTTTTTTTTTGGCAAATGTAAATTAATTGCTTTGTACAGAAACTCAACCCGGGTATGCAATAAATTGTAATAAAATGGTCTTGTAAAACTGACAAGATAATCATTTAAAAATGTTTACGATGCAATTAGTTTATGAATTATGTTTCAACAGACTTCAATATTACTCTCACAGATTACAGAGGTCTATACCATTCACATGCTAGGGGCGGGTCTCTTATTTTGGCCCTCTGCAGCCTACTGTATACTGCAGACTGTCCTCTCTTACCTGATGCTCACCCCTCAGGGTGGTAATGGTACTGTCTGCCGCCTTCGTCTGGTGCTGAGTCTTATGTCTTCTGTTAGCATCTTTACTTGTATCCTTTGAATTTGAGGGTTTTTTTTTTCAAGTGTTACTGTGTATTTTGACCTCATTAACCCTCCTGCTATTTAAACAGTCACAGACAGTCAAAATTCACTTCCACTTCCCCTGCTACACTTTTAACACAGACTAGTCACCAGGGCCCAATGTCAATTTCTAAACAGTTAGCAGAAAAGTTGTGCTTAGCATAGCAGAATAAAATTGCTAACCTTTAAGCACTATTTCAAGGTGTGGATGTGCTAACGGTCGGAGATTTCTATCGTTACGTCTCTAACTAAGTTAAGCAAATTTGTCCGCTGAAGTAAGCGTGCCTTTTGCTGTGCTTATGCTTACGGTCTCCATGAAATAGACGGAGGCTCTGTTAGCAGAAAATCGTGTGCTTAGCAGCGCCGTGAAATTGGGCCCAGCAGTCAGATCATATGTCAAGCAAGCAAACTCAGTCAAGAGACCATGAACAGACAAAGCAGGCAAGTTGTGGACACAGCTGGCTTATCAATTACCCACAGTCAAAGCAAAGTTACATAAACAGTCACGGCCAGTCAATCCTGCTGTATGTAGGCTGGAATTAGCTGTAGCAAACAGTCACTTGATTGATTCTGACTGAAAGGACTACTTGGCACAGAATGTATGTTTGCATTGGATATCTTTTACTTTATATGCATTTTGTTTTTCTCCCGGCCCCAATAGTAACACCACTAGACTCAAATCCAAAGAAGAATTTTCGAAATATAACCTGTTGAAGTTTAAGCTTAGCGGATATTTATACTTCTGAGAAAACAGTGAAAAACCATGCACAGCCTTTCGGTCACAGAACGCAATTTCGTCAATAGCATTCGTTATTCAAAATCTTGGAAGAACTATTCTTGGAAGAACTATTCTTTCTGGCATGCTGTCATTTTGTAGAAAACACTTAAAGAATGTCATTTCCAAATATGCGTCTGAAGACGCATTTTTCGAAATTTCCGTGTTCAAATTTTTAAGTATTTCAATTTTAATTTTAATGCGCGGTTGCTATAATTCGTCGGTTCAGTGCGTGACATCGCTTAGCTGCAATCGGCTGAATGAGAACGTGTCCCGGACGCTGAATTTGGGCGCAATTTCAAACATGACTCTGCAACTTTTGAATTGAAATTGAGATCCTAGAATATTGTTTTCTCGGAATATGCAGCATTCACTGAGCTAAAACTTCATCAGGTTAGTTGTTCAACACCCTTCTTAAGATTTTAGCAATTTTGTTGCTTCAAACCAAAAATATGCACAAATGACAAATGATATACTCTACCTTTAGTCCCGAACATCTCGCTTGCGTAATTGTGCAAATTTCAGGTGCCTTAACAATGCAACTTCAGGCCTTATTTCCTCCATTCTTGCTGCAATTGGGTGGTCTGAGGTTCAACACCATGTCGATGACAAACAGCATTGGCAGGAGTTGGATGGGGTGAGCATTTATTCTTGTGAGATCTATTTGTCATTCTAGAGAATGCACTGGACAAAATGTTTTTGGACAAAATGTTTGAAATTTACATTTGACCAGTGATGGATCGGGGGGGGGGGGGGGGAGAAGGGGGGAGGACACAGGGGGCATGCAATTTTTTTGTTCAGTCAGCCAGAGCAGGGTTGAAGACTATTTTTATAAGATGGAATTTTTCGTTGAGGAGATGAAAATTTTTATATTGGTTGCGCCCTTGCCAACATATTTTTATTTCTATAAACACAATTTATAAAAATCTGTGTTGTCTGAGGGCTAGCGAGTAAATATTTACACACTTCCTTGGGCGGGACTCGAACCCACAACCTTCTGCTTACTAGTGCAGACGTCTCACCACTCAACCACCGAGCTTGCCAAGGTCGACTGGTTAGAGTCTGATGCAGCAGCAGGTACCGCAACCAACCTGTTTATAAAATGGGTTTTTGTCGGGAATTTTTCAACAAGAAAAACAATCAGGAAGAGAACACCATCCCCCCCCCCCCCCCCCCCCCAGTTTATGAACTTGCAATAGCCCCTCCCAATTTTGGCACCTATGAGAATTTGTGTCTATCTGCAGGTGCCCCAATGTGCAAATTCGATACCAAAATTAAAAACACCAAAATTCATATCTTTTTGGGTTCATAGTGAGCACTATCACTTAACCCTGGTTTCCATATCGACGTTAAGCTTACGCCAACTATGCAGACTGCACAGACAGTACGCCAAACAGTCGGCAAAGTTGAACCGGGCTGAACTTTGCCGATCGTTTACCAGGTAGTTTGCGTCTGTCTGAGTTGTTGACAACACTTCCGGATGAAATGTTTCCATATGTCAGCGTTGCAGTTTGGGTCCTGTCTGCGTTTCACTTTCTTACATCGATATGGAAAATATGATATCGATATGGAAACCAGGCTTCACTGTAAGATTAAGTGTACGGTTACACCATGTAACAAATTTCTTTTGTGAATTTGTGACGTTCTGAAAAGAACCGGGGAAAATTCAACGTTTCGGACAGTATACTCTGCCTGTCGTCACTTCTTTTCACTCTCTGATTATCCCCAGGGTTACGTAGCTCATCTCGTCAGCGCCTTCACTGAGTTGACCATGGTCCTATCCTTCATCTTTTACTTTCTCACTTTCATCCCTGAGTTCCGTCACGTTCGTCTCAAAGTGATCTTCATCTCACACGATGGCGACGACAGGTGCATCATGGGTAATGACAGGGAGGGGTTGCAATGTGGGCGGAGTTATCACTTTCTCTCGGGGGAGGGCAGCGATGAGGAATCGACAGAGATAAACAGTAAAGTTTAGGGATAGGAATCCTATAGTTTTTTTTTCATCCTGGGCAACTTTCATGGCCATCTTTTTTTCAGCCAGGTGATATGTTTTGGTTTCTCCTTGTTCCCATTTTTACGTTAATACAAAAAAAGCAAAACAAACAAGCAAGGAAAGGCACAGAATGCTAAAGAGCAGATGTAAGCTAGACATGTGAGCACCTGATTGGCTGTCTTTGCTAAGCAAAATGTGCCCTCTCTAGTGTGTACACAAATCAGATATTACTTAAAGGTAATATACAACATTTGCAAACATCAAAACACAAAACTACCAAATTAGATGAAATACCTTTACTTCACTGTAAGCGAATGATAGTCTCAAGCATACTGTGAAATCATGGCACCTGGTATGCTGTAATTTTCAAGAAAAGTGGAATTTTTGTATGAATTTCTAACTCCAACGATGGTCAGCGGACCATCATTGGGAAAAATTGACTTTTTTTCAAATACTGCCCCCAATTTACCAAATTTAGTTAGTCCAAATTTTGTTTGCAATCGGTTTTCACATCGATGAACGGGTGCAAGCAAACTAGTCTGGTTCCCTGACCTGACAATTCCTGACGTCTATAAATTGCTCTGTCTTGTAAAAAGTAGGGTCAGGGAACCCAACTACAAGAACAGCATTTTTTCAGCATCTGTAAACACAAAACTTTAAACAGGTCAGTGTAAACAATTTTTGCTATAAAATGCTAACCCCCAAATCCATCCATTTCTGAAAATTACAGCAAAAAGAAAAGGTTGCCTTTGGTTCCTTCTGTCTGCAGGTTTTTTTTTTATAATTTGATGAAAAGTCACTTTGCCATGCCATATTATAACCAGCAAGATATTTTTATGTGTGTAATAAAGTATTTATTCAACTTTTTGCGTGTAAAAATTGAGATATTTTCTATTTAATATTCATTAGGTGCTGTATGAATCAGGAAAGAAAAGAGTCTTTTTTCTATAACAGAAAGATATGTTTTGGCTGTTTCGGCAAGCAACCTTTGTTTTTGTTAATATTTATATTTTTACAGTGCTCAGGAATTCAGTTAGTGAAAGCCAAAATCCGATATTAAAATTCCATCATAAGAGAACTAAGCCAATCAAACGACAGGGAAGGCTCATGAATAATCATCACAGTATTAAGTAACCAATAATATTTCAGCTTTGAGGGTTTTCCCCTTTTTATGCATATATGTACGAGGTCAGGACTCGAGTTGATGTTCAAAAGTGTTGCTGTACTTTGACTTTCGATATAGGCCTATTTAGTACTTCATGATCTTATAAGCAAACATATACATGTACTTCCAACTTTCTTGCTTTCAACTTTATTGCTGTCAATATTCATTACATCTGTTCTAGTACTATAGATTTTCTTATCTAAGTTATCTTCCACTTTGTGAAGGGAACAACTCTATTTGATGAATAAAAAAGAAAATATGTTTACTACTTTATCTGTAAGGTTCTCATTTTGAATGTCCTGGGAATTTGTGTGATAAATTTTGACAAAGTAAATAACAAAAATATTTTGTAAACGTGCGACTCTCCAAAAAGAAGATAATGCCACATTCAAGAAAACATGTTGAAATTTCAAATAAGTTTTCTGTGCTGCATGCTTACGGGTGAACCAATACGTTTAATTTATCAGACCAAATAAGGTAATCCAAAAATGTGCAAATTAGAATATGCAAATAAAGGGAACTTGCAACCAATGGGGAGGCTTCTTTTATTCAGTTTTTTCCTCATGTACCTGTATCCGGTTCGTTAGTGTGACGTCACCTCCAGCACTTTCTGCACGATTGGAACCGGAAGTTAACGCAGCTCGAGCGTTTGTAGCCAATGGGCGCTAGTAATCAGTGGTGTGCGCGCGTGTATGACGTATTTACTAACGAACCGGATACTGCTGTTGATTGTAAAGCCTCCTTGTGATTGGACTATGATTGGACATAGAGCCAAGGAATTGGAGCATGCTTACATCCTTCGGAATTTTATTAACCCAATCGAAAGCAACGTGAACTTTCCTGTCACTCCCCCCCCCCTCACCCCCCCCCCCCCCGGCCTTTAAACCTTTTGGACATAGCATGTACATGTACATTGTCAACTTTTTGTATTGTACACATTTGCATTGAATGTCATTGGGAAAACTTTTTCGTGACAACAAAAAACTACAACAGGTGTAAGAGAGGAGCGTCGTGATTGGAAGCACCGGGTGTGGACGACTACATTTAAAATTAGGGGTCTGTAAAAGCGCAGGTTGATAATTCCTTTTATTTTCTGCTAACTTCTGAGTAACGTTTGGTCGGCACGCGAAATAAATAGTTATAATGTATCTCATGATAAAAGCCTGAAATATATTTGTGTACAAATGATCAATTTAAGGTACATTTTTATATTAAAAGCTGGTTGCGACTCCCCGAGACAATATGTGTGCGGGTTCACCACCCCTATCGTGGAATGTAAACGTCCGTGTGTTTCTCTTAGTACGACGGCAAGAATGACAACACGCACACAAGTTATTAATCCTCAACGCGTCGAGACAGAAACAGATTCCAAGCTTTCTCGAGTCAAAATCGGTGTGGAAATGTCCAACTAATTTCTCCTTCCAAGATGGAGTGTAAAACCGTACAACTGCCACGGGTCAGCGTTTATTTACTTCTCCTTCTTTGCCTTCGTGTGGTGATATCGAGCCGTGTGTGTGGCGATACTGGGTTCCTGTGTCCCGGGACGCTGTGCTGCTGTCATGACGGGGGAACACACGTCAATTGCACCCGGCGGAACCTGACGGACGTGCCCGCTAGCTTATTGGGAATCACGGAAACTCTGTAAGTACTTCAAGTTCAACTACTAGCTTTTTCCGACCTCATAAGTTCTTTGGGGCATTAGTTAATTTTTAGGACCCCTCTGTGTTTTGAACTTGCCCGTAAACAGCTGGCGAAGGACAGATTTATTCTTTCTTTCTAATTTATGGCTCTGAAGTGAAGGGAAATGAAGTCCGAGAAACATTCAATTTTGGTGACCTCTATGTTCCGACACCCCTATGTTCCGACTGCACATATTCCTATTCCTAACCCTAACCCTAACCGGGAGTAACACAATCTAGGTTGTCGGAACATAGGGGTGTCGGAACATAGAGCAGTCACCTTCAATTTTGATTGACAACTGCCTCCCGGTCGGCTTCCGTAAAGCGAAACAAATATTAGCCATTAGGCCTATAGGGGTCCTAAAAGTAACTATATGCATCTTTCTCACTGCACAAAATCACCTGTCTTTTCCTTTGACGTAGCTGCAGTGTTCACTAAGTTCTGGGCATGGAACTTGGAAGGTTTTTGGATTATTCCGCCATGTTCCGAATCTGAGTAACTTCAAATTTTTAAAACTAGGGAAATTGGCCCAAAGTGTCTGTAGGGCTTCGGTTCTATTGATCGTTCACATGTTGGTTGAGTTTCTTGTTACTTCGAGAAATGAAATTCATGTTCCTCTGTAACAAACAGATGAGTGGGCTCATAGAATAAGTGTTTAATTAATTGATTTATCAAGTGAAAGACAAAGTGAATATTGTGGTTGGTAAAACGTGTGTGCGGCAGTAAGTCTTGATTTGACAGCTATTTTTATTCTCTAATTAAATAATTCCCCGGATATTATAAGGGGGGAAAGCAAGTGACAATAATTATAAGAAAAAAAAATGTTGCAACCTGTCGCCACTTTTTTCTTCATATAACATCTCAATGAAGGTCAGTTATTGCAAAAATGATGATAAGACATGAATCTGGGACAATGAGAAACATTTCCAAGTTTGTTAGGAAATACTTAGAAAATGTTCTTGACTCTCTATAGACTTTGTACCCAACTGCTTAAGTGGCGTCAGGTGCGGCAACATTTTTTCCATTATGAGCTTTATACAGAACAGGGAAAACAAACAGTAGACACGTACCTGTGGACAAGCTGTACAAATTCCCAAGACTGATTGATAGCAGATATGTTTTGAAAATGTGACAAGCTTTGTAATGATCTGTCTTTGTGATTTCATCATAGTTTTGTTAGGGTTATAATATTGGCTTTTCCCATGATCGTACTTTCCTTGGGGCAGTCAAGCCCAATGTAGTGTCCACTACGACATCAAGTGTCAATTTTAGCTATAGGGAGTTTGAAAACAGGTGCATTCTTCATGCAATTCAACCTTGATGCACAGCTATTTAGGCCTATAATCTGTCCGGCAATCCAAGCTCAGAATGCGTTCAATCATGAAGATACATTAACCGGAAGGCTAGTGACACTTCATCCAAGAAGTGTCAAGAAAAATGTGTATAATCCTTAATTTCACGGGATGGTGGTGTATGACACGGCGAAGCATTTTCATTCCCTACTCCCAGCCTCAAGCAAAACAAAAATCATCATACACAGACTTTTTTTTCAGCAAACGGCACGACGATGTCCGGGTGTTTTCATAGTGAATCGATCAGGCTTTCCACAAGCTAACAGGAAATTGTCATCTTTGGAACTAAACTCTAATCCCATGCCTAAAGCGATCTTAATCAATTGGAAGTGGGGGAAAACACACTGTATGATGGAAAAGACACATTCTTTAGTTACTGCAGGGGACAATTGTAATAGATATGATCGTGTGTGTGTTCAGCCCGCTGTGTAGAGTTTTAGAAATAATCACAATCCTCATCACGATTTGGGCGCTCAAAGGTAAATTTTGCTATTTTTGTCAGAAATTTTCAAACACTTTTCTAAAGTGTCATTTCCCCCCAAAAAAAAAATTCCTCCCAATTTTTTTTCTTCAGAAAATGTCCCAAATTGTTCTGAAAATTATATGCCATCAAAAAAAAATTGTTTCAAACTCCCATAATTTTTGCTCAAGACTTACACCTGCATCAGTTGTCAAGAAAATTTGCTCAAATCTTTCTACAGTTGCTTTTAACCCCCCCCCCCCTTCCCATAAATGTAGAGTCCAAAATGGTTGGAATGTAAGCACCGTTGATATATCGATATTACTCGATTATTTATCATTATTTTGATATCGATATAACCGATAGCAATGGTTTAATCGTATTGAAATTTTTGATATTGAGGAATGACATCGAAAATATGTTAGTATCGTCAAAATGAATCTCCCGGATTTGTGCTTTTACTCTGTGTTGAACGTTTGCTGTTTAAGGCAAAAAAAAAATTAAAGTCGGTCTCTGGTCAGCGCGCGCATCGATTTTAATCATGCGCGTCGATCATTTTTTTTCCAAAATGTTCCGCGGTAGCTCCAACAACGCCCTCTATTTCCGCACCTCCTCAATTTTTTTTTACCAAAGAGCACCAAGGAATGGGAAATTGCACCAAGGCAAATGATCGAAAGCACCAA